TTTTTTTTTTTTGAATAAATTAACAGTTCATTCAACAACAACAACTTTTTAAAAAAAAAAAAAAACTAAAAAGGAGTTAGTACATAAAACGACGGCGTATTAATGCTCACCAATAACGTTTTTCTTAATAATTAAAAATGGAGGAAAAAAGGAAAACACGTGCGACAAAACCTTGAAGTTGTTGAGAGAGAGAGAGAGAGAGAGCTAGCCTACCTGCATAAGGAGCTTTATACGGTCAAGCGGTGCCGTCACTGACTTTGCGGCGGCTCCGGCAAACGCCCCCGCGAAAAATAGAGCTGCGTCTTTGGGTACAAATGACAAAAGAGCGACGGGGTTTTTCAACAGCTGAGCCGAAGTAGGCGCGAATTCCTCCTCTTCCTTGGGAATCACCACCGAAACGGACGCGAATGCTCCACCAGATTCTCTCCTTCTAATCGCAACGGATAAGGATGCGAAATTGCTGAAAACGCCGCTACGGCTTCTCCTCGAGGAGTTCCATGAAGGTTGTTCAGAGGAGGAGGAGGTCTTGAGAGCGAAATCAGAGGTCCTTAGCGAAGGGATGCTACGGAACTCAAGCACTGATTTCTCTTCTCCCATTTTCGATTTCTTCTCTTTCTTTTTTTGTTCGGAATTTTTATTATTGCACAGAAGTGGAGGAGTCGTCGTCCCAATGTATAAATTCTCTCCGGAATAATAGTCAAGACTACTTTATGGGGTCCACAATTTAATCCAGTCAAATTAGTGGGCTCACTTGGGCCTTCACATTTGAATATATTATATTATGCTTTGCTTTGTTGCCTTAACGAATCCTTGACAAGAGAAAAAACAAAGAGAAAACTAGTTCCTGTAATAGGTGAAACACAATTGTCCAAGCGTGCGTTCAACTACTTCTTGAGCAAATACATTCCATCTCTAAACTCTAGTTTCTCTTCAGATACCAACCCTGACAGAAAGCTCTGTAGTTGTTGCAGTGACTTGTCGTACGATGGATCCGCTACACAGAACATCTACACCAACACCAGAGACATGATCATCATAATAATCTAAGACAATAAATAGCCTCGTAAAATATTATATGCCCTTTCATGATTTGTGTTACCTTTAGAGTGTTATGGATTCGCTCTAGTGCCATGCTTCCAAAATTTGTCAGCATTCCCATTATGAATTTCTGATATAAAAACAAACAACAACATTTATTTGATAATATGCAAATGACCAAGTAGAATATGAGAGTTAGGCATCATAACATACCTCGTATATTGTCATTTCTTTGCGAAGTTGGTCTTCCACTGAGGCTATCGATCTTTCACTCTCTTCATCACCTCCCAACAGCTCCTCGCTTTCGTTTTTCCCACTAGAATCAGCCATGGATTCAACTAGCGTGTACACAACATTCCCATTTGTCTCTCTTCCTCTTGTTTCCCTCAAAACTCCCTAATGTTCAGGCAACTTTACAAGTTTAGCTCTTCCTTTCTCCAGAATGAATGCTTTTGAATCAAACTATGGGTTTACCTTGCTTATCCACAAGTTTACTCTTCTGTTTAATACATCAATGGGTATCCCAGTGGCTGCAGCAAGATCTGTAGATGTCCAACTGACAAAAAAATATTTCAGTAACTTTGGCAGAGAGAAAATTATCCATAATTTGACTCTTGTAGATTTGGTTACCTTTTCTTTTCTTGAAACTGCATGATAATGGCTGCATGTGTGGGGGAGACTGTAAACTCCATTGCTCTGTCTTCAAATTCCAACTCCAACTGCGTTCAACCCAAACCCATTTCAGAGAGAGTTAGTTACATTTGTCACTATCTGCTTTCTCCCATACTCCAAAACAAAACCATGTTAGTATCTACAAACAACAAAAATTACCTTGACAGTGCCAAGATTTTTCTTCCATAGTAGTTTACGAGGGGTCTTGATCTCATGATATCGATTGGCATAATCTGACAGTAGCTTGTCGATAGGTTCAGGGAACACCAGAGGCTCGTCCTGAAATTCCCCCTCCAATTCAGTAAATGGAAGCAATCACAAATATCTATTACCCTTCAAATGTATAGATATAATCATCATAAAGTAGAACATGTGACAACCTGAATTGGTGGCCAGAAGTTTGTTGAAAGTATCGTCGAGGTAAGAATATCAACAGACAGCTTACTCTCTCCTAAGTCAGTGCCTAAACAACAAGGAATGGACACAGACGAGATTCATACAGGGACCTACGGAGTATTGAGAAAGAGTTCAAAAATATAAACCTGTTCGAGATGCCTTTTTAATGTTAGTGTTCACTCTCTTTGAATCAATCAAGTCGTTCAGCATTATCTCACATCTTTGCATACTGGCTTCTCCAAAATGTATCTATTGGCATAAATAATAAGAGAAAGATAAAAATCTAATCCGAACTGTAGAAATCAGCCAATAGTTTTGAGAGTGAGAGATTGCCTTGAGAAGTTCGACAGTGCGTATCTCAGTGTCGATGTCATAATCAGTCTTGTTGAGAAGTTTCTCAGCGAGCATAACACGATATTCATTTACTAGCTGCTCTTTAGATCCAATTATATCAACAAGCATTCCGAGTATGTCTACTTTCCTCTGACTAAGGCTACCTTTTAGAGGATCAGCCTCAACAGGGTCTGGTTCCCAACTGAGGACAAAAGCAGATTACGATAAATTAAAAGACAAATCCAATGCCATGCAAGATGATAGAGATAAGCCAAGAAGAAAAGGTACCGAGAAGCATTGATCCAGGCTTGCTTATCATCAGTGTGGAAATCATCATCAAAACCAACATTCTCTTGACTTTCTTCATCCCTCATCAACTCTTCAAGAAGACTATCCCCTGGGTTTCCCGAACCATTTGCATTCCCTCCGCTTCCATCCGTAAGCATTGTGACTATACACTTGATGGTATCTTTCCGTCCACGTAAATAGTCTCTGATTGGTTCCCCCACTGCTTCCAGAAACACACCGGCTGGGTCTATTGCCCTAAGGGCTTTAATGGTCGACACATACTGATGCAGTATATCATTGGTTGAGGCCCCGGCAGTGAGCAAACGATATTTCAGCGAAGTAATAAAAGATTCAACTAGCTTAGAATGCTGTCCAGTGTATTCAAGACACTGTTTTAAGTCTTCAATAGCAGGAGAACTGTTGCATCAACCAAATTTCATTTCCATCAGAGATGCTATTTGAGAAGGGTTCCAAACGAGATCTACTATCAGTATTGAAATTACCTCTCAGGATAATCAACGATTATCTCAAACAGTTTAGCTATTCTTAAATCTTGCAGTGTTTCATACGCAAAATATTCAAGCCGTAATTTCCACCTAACAATTCCTTCAGAAGGAGTCACCACTTTGGAAAAGCTTGGAGAAGATGGACAACAAGCCAGAGGGGACGTGAGGGTAGACGTTGTGGTATCGTATCTTACGGAATCACCAAGATAAGAAAGAAGCGCATTAAGGAACTGAAGAGGAACTGTCTGGAGAAGAGATCAAATGTCAGGGATAACCAAAAACAATCTGATAGATGGTAGAGTGAGAATCTAAACCTACCTGAATCCATTCTTTGATTGATCCCAAAACAGAAGTCCTGTAATCATCACCAGCCAGATCATGGACTTTGGCCTTGAGAAGCAAGAAGATGGCAGAAGCATAAGCGTTTTCAGCCATAGAAGTGAAACCAATACTTCTAAGGTCACGGACAACCTTCCCAATGTTCTTAACCAGCTCGTCATGTCTTGAATAGCCTTCATCAACATCCATTTCTCCAATTTTAGATCTCAGCTTATCGTCCAAATCCATACCATCAGTCTCGAGTTGTTGGGTGTCATCTTCATTCATGATCGCGCTTAGCTCCTCCAGCTTTTCCTTAAAATACCAATGCAGTATTTCTAGGGAGATAATAAAGAGACAAAAATATATGAGGGTAATGACTGAACTTGGAGTGGCAAACAGAGCCGGAATGGTTGTTTGAATCAGAGGAGATGGGAAAGCAAGAAAGAAGAGATACCTGGAAAATGCTGAGGAAGAGTAGTCATCAAAGTTGAAGACAGCATCGACCGGAAACTGGAAAAAAGTTGAACTCTTTCGGAATCTGAGTCCGAAGAGTGTTGTTTAAAGGAGTGCAGAGCATGAAGGAGTATGGAGAGACATTTCTCATGAAACTGCTTCTCTATAGAAATTTCTTCCAAAGCCCCACACAAGGCTTGGTGAATCTCCTCTCCGTAATCCTGTCCAAAAGCATCTGTTTTTTTTAGTCCAAGCTTAAAGAATCGAAAAACGAAGCAAGCGATGTAACTGCTTACAGTATGTTTCTTATAACGAAAATCGTCAAAATGAAGCCAAAAACTGGAGGCACCGCCCTTGTCAAAAGCTTGCTGAAATTTAAGACAAAGACCAGAATTTTGGTTACTCTACTAAGTCAGGAAGAAGCTGAATCTTCAAAAAAAATACCTGGAGAGATGTGAGGAAGTGGTCACGAACAAGAGAATCAAGACCATACTTGCAGAGAGTAGAAACATGAGACACCAACTCTTGCTCGACTGAGGTATCTCCGGCAATGAGAGACTCCACTGTATCGAAAAACCCGCCGTAGTTTTCTGTGATTTCCACAATCGCATCTTCCGATAGAGTTTCTAGGATCCCTAAATTGCACTCAGATGATGATGCGCCCCCTAAAACTTCCATCATTTTTTCTCTAAGCTCAAAACCGAACCTTCCTAAAGCCCTAATTTATTATTTGCCTGGAAAGATCCTCCCTTGGTCGGAATTTTAACTTTCGTCTTTGTAACTCTTTGTTTCAAAAAAAAAGCAATATTTTTCTTTTATCAATAGATCGAATTTCAGTACAGACACCAACGCTCCACTTCAGTTGACAAAAACCTCTTTTACTTAACTTTTAAGAGGACAGCAAGGTTTATATAACCCATCCTTAAACCGGAACGAACCGGTAATCAAACATCCGTTGAAAACTTGAAACCTTTTCTTAAATTTTTTTTTTTTGTGAATCAATCTTAAATTATGAATCATACAACATACACTGTTTTTTATGTATAGTAGAAGATTTGGATCAAGAAAGGAGCGTTAGGCGACACAAACTGATGGAAATTATCCTTCAATGGTTTCGCATTTCACCCTTAACTTGGAAAAAAAAAAAAGAAGCAAATCCAAATAAGCTGCAAGAGCAACACTAATTTCAGAGGTGAACAATCTCGCTGAGGAAGAAGACTCAAGAGGAGTGAGTAGTAAACCTATTCTTCAGAGGTTGCTTTCTCTGAAAGGCTGATGCAATAAACTCGGTTTCCAAGATGCTTGACGTGGAGGCCAGCTTGTTGGCAACCAGTAAAGAATAAAGACTCATCTTCTTTCCCAATCCTTCGTCTCCAGCTCATTAAGAACACCGGACAGGGTAGCAGATCAGACTCTGCTCCTCCTATTGGTTAAAAAAAAAAAGAGAGTAAGTAAATGATAAGACTTGTTTTGGTGATGACAAAGAAAAAAAAGAAGAGGGAGTTAGTGACCATTTAGCTTGCAATCTGCTGCGGGACTAATAACAGCATTGGTGTCTTTAGGTTTGTAGGACTTGAGAAGAAAAGAGAGAGACTTAATCAAGTTTGGGTACTGTTTCACATCTGCAAATTAAAATAAGAAGCATGAACAAGATTTCAGATATACCAAGGAAAAGAAAAAGACAAGGAGTAGATGAAATACAAAGAAGGATATCACTGGCAATGATCAAATCCCAATCTGGAACTGAGGTTGGGAATTCATCTCCCCATGTATCTGTCATAATAAATAGTAGAGAATGTCAAACCAAAATTATACCATTTTACGATGAAGATAAAAGAAGAATATATGGAAAACTGACTGACGCACGCTTGATATGGGGGAGAGAAGGGGTAATGTTGTTTGAAATACAGTTATGAGAAATGTTATCCTGAATCTCGTGATCATCGTAGTCTGAAGTAGTTATGTCTAGATTAAACTCTTTCTTAAGAAAAATAGCTAAAGCACCAGTGCCGCTGCCACCAAACCAAAAAGAAGCTCAGTTTAAAAAAACACAGGAAAACCAATCAAGAAGCACAAAAGAGAAGGAGGAAGTGGTACCTTCCAATCTCGAGACAGCGCCGGTTCTGGATCAGGTGGGGATGCTGGGCTAACCAGTCAGCAAAGGCAAAGGAACCAGGCCAGAGCAAGTTTGCATTAAGCTGGTGGAAACCGAATTCACGGATATGCAATTCCTGTTTCCAAACAAAAACAAACAAAGAGGAAACACTTACTTACTGAGAAACTATTTTGTTTCATACATTACTCACAGAGCTTCCCAATAGCCATGTTTTCACTCACTCTCAAGGCTACTAGGAAGGAGGATAGAGAACACGTACCATTCCAGGAAACTGGTGATTCCTATCAACGAAGCTCTGCCTCGTCGTCTCTCCATCTGAGAAAGCAATTACAGTTACTATCACACTCAGTCGCTATGTAATGGTGGGTCAAAAGCAGAAACATCAGTCAGTTACCAGAGGAGGAGTCATCGTCGTCGGCGAAGAGAGAGGACGGCGAGAAGAGTGCTATATCCATGAGACGATGATAGAGGGTCGTCGAGATAGGGGAGGGGGGGATTTTAGGGTTTTTTTTTTTTTTTTTTTGGTTTTGGCTCTCTCGAAAAC